CTACTAGGCGCTAGTTCGGCGCCTCAATTTTTCCACTGAAATCGATACCTGCTCATGAATACGACTTTCATTTCCAAGGTCCTCGTGGTCACTAAATATTGAGTACGTGACAAGACAATCGTAATATGCCGCGCTGGTGGGCGTGGCCAACGACACAGCGCCCGACGGCCGAGTTGCCTTGCCGGCCACAACTTAGCGTTAAAGGGACAGGAAAGTTTTATAGTGTTTGCCATGGGATAGTGCCTGCTCCTAAATCCATAATGGTTTCGCTGTTACAATCACCAAACTGGTGCACTTCGAAGTATTTGCCGCGCATCGCCGCACGGCACGCCGCGACAAATTACGATTGTCTTGCCCGTCTCCCCTTAATATTATGTAAACGATTCGGACTCTCGTTTACTCACAGATGTACAGTCCATGTCATGAGGGCACAAAGGGCGGTCCCACGTACGCCCGTCGTTGGTTGCTTGTTCCCGCAGCGACGCCATTACTTACCACGCACGCATAGGTGAGCTATAATGTAAGATGTCCTGAAAGGGCTACAAAACCGAAACAGATAAACAAACATTATTGAAACAAAGGAGAATGAAATAGGACACAAATTAAACAGCACCAGTACACAAATATATGCAACAAACAAACTACACTTGAAATTGTCAGAATTCCAGAATAAGTAAGCAAATTAGGGATTTATACTATATGCCATTGCCGATTTTCAAAATTACGACACACTGAGGAAAGATTAACGAACATCCACTCAGAGGAGGTCAGATCGTAGACTGGCATATCGCTGGTCACGTGGTGTCCGCGTCTGGGACGGTGCGGGATCGGAGGGGTGTGGTGGTGGACATGTCAATCCTTGCTGGGACGCTCGGAGAGCGCCTTACGTTAAAAATGGAGCCACGTAGAACTTGCTCAGGAGTGCGGTATCCTTCTCTACTATGCATCTTCAGCCTATAGGCCTATTCGACCTATCATGCCTAATGCAGTTGAAGACGGTCCCTGCGCTCCCCCCATTCATACATGTCCTTCCGTGTACAAGTAGAGTGATCCTCGTTTTCCAAGATTATCCTACTTTTGCGGCTCCGCAGTAAGCAATGATGCGCTGTGGCCCTCATAAGTAGCAGTTCTGACGCCTTCCTAGTGGTCCCACCCATCAAATTCAAAAGCTATTTTCGTTACGAGTTCGATTTTTACACCGCATTTTTCGCTTCTTTTTTAATGTTAGGTGGTATTAGCATTGGATGACGCGAAGAAACGATTAGTGAGCCGGAGGCGCAGGATATCCCTTTGCTGACATAAAACGAGCAGGTCCGGAGATCTCGTTCCAGAGAGGCTGCCAGGTCTCCTAGTTAAGGTGCTTCTCTGATTTTATTTTTGCTTTTTCGCTATTTGGAGAGTCATTTAACGACTACAGGTTTGTACTTGAACGCCCCATCCGCAATATACAAGGGTATGTCTTCAAAGGTACGGTCCGCGATCAGGTATAGAAGTTGAAATATGGCGTCGGGAGTGTAGTGTGGCCCGCGAGGAACAACCTTGTAGCGGTTTCGCGACAAAAAATTGTAAGGGAGGGGCGCTATAGCGCAATATAGGTTCAGTGACGCCTCCTTTTCTCCAGTGACTCCGCCTCCAGACTCCGCCTTCAAGGCCCGCCTTTCAGTGGAAAACGAAGCTGCAGGATTAAGAAAAGCCATGAAAATCATCACTATTACGGTCGTAGAGTTCTTATTGGAGAATCTGCTCTGCGGATGAAGGCGTAGAGTTGAAAATGGAGTTAATTGGGCAAGTAAAAATTGGGATCTGAATGGAATGCTATTCAGGGCAGTTGGCATGTTTTTTACTGGATTTTTTTTTTCTTTACTATCAAGTTACTCACAATCTCGTCGTTGTATATGTCAAAACGCCTAATTCACTGTCTGCGATGGCAAATGATCCTTCGGCTTTGCTTTGAACAAATCATGATACCCTTGAAGTCGAATGCAAGCCTCGTTTCGCCTAACAGTGACGCGTAATCAATCATTATTTTGACGAAGCTTTTTTTTCAAGGTTGACCACTTCGCACGATTTTCACGTCAGCTGCTTGAGACGATAATTGGAGGAGCCATGCAGATCCAGGATCACGAAGTTGCCATCGTTGCCGAGGAACCACAGGTTGGAATTAGTTCAGTTACTTATTTGTGCTGACACAGGGCTTCTTCTTAGCACTGGTCACTTAAGTAGGGATCAGCAGAGTAGTGATATGGAATCGGTGTTCGCCCTGCCCGCACACATAAGGTCTGATGTCACTACTCCATAAGTCCCCTCCTAGTTCGGGCCAGAATCAATGCCTTCTACCTTATAAGGTCGATATATATGGTCAGAGGAACGTCAGAGTGGTTCAGGGCGTGGGAACTCGTGAACTTTAACATGACCGCTTGGTCACAAAAATCACCTGTCAGGTTCATGTCGGCTTCCTAAACGGCAATTGTCGCTTTACCGCTAAAGCAGTCCTTTTCCCCTATTAGCGCATTTTTTTGAGCGGTGGTACTCTAGACGTGCGTGTGTGCCTGCGTGCGGGCGTCTACCAGCGTCCACCTGCTCTCGAGGGTTAGGGGAGTATAGGTATCGATCCAGTGTCCACCAGCGTCTAGCAGCGTCCGGGAGTGGAGAGTATGGCGCGACAGGATGGTAGCAGACAGCTGGTAGAGCATGGACTGCTAGTAGAGAGATTCAGACAGCTAGATACCCTCCTATCGCCTTATAATCTCTACTCCCGCACACTGCTGGTCGGTGATGGACGCTGACAGACGCCAGTTCGATATCTGAGCTGTCTCTAGTCCGCCTGCACGCAGACGCTCGGTTGACGCCGCTGAGGCTATTGGTCGCTTGGTGACGTCCGTGCCAGGACATAATATTCAAGCCTAAGGCAGGTCTTGCAGAGGACGACCCTAGAGTCAATAGCCAATAAGCCAATGTTTATGGATTTCAAATTGTGCGAAGCCTTTGTAAAGCAAGCTGCCATGATGAGAAATTGTCAACACCCCTTGTGCCTTTTTAGTCACTTGCCACTGGCTGTCACACAGCTCATTGGGAGACGGCCAAGACTATCGTAATTAGAAAACGCAAAGAAAAAACAACAATGGGAAAGGAATACAATCCAATCAACAGCAGATGATCGTTCGCTCGGTATCGCAGACGAATCATCATTGTCTAGCCAACCCCCGAGCATCATCAGTGCGATAGGTTGAAGACAAGAGGACATAGACTACATAGGGGAAGGTGTGAGAAATAGGACAAAAAGAGAGAGATTGTAAAAAAGGGGTAACATGCAAAGTTCATGCATCAAGATGATGATGAATTATACATAATAATGAAAATTATACATAATAATGAAAGAGTGATATAACACGAAGTGTGCTGTAAATACGTGTGGAAGGAAGGGAAAAGGAGTAAACCGGCAAAACCACTGAGAGAATGTTGAGTATAAGAGAAGGTATACCAGAAATAAATCAATTAAAGTATAGTGGAAAGAAGGGAATTAGTGTTGATCACTGCTGCAAATGAGTAAACCTGTGACTAGTCTATTTATCTTTCTATAGTTATTTGCGAATTGAGTACTTGTAACTTATAAATTTATTTTTATAAATACACTTAACAATGCTAGTAATAATAAAATCTTCCTCGTAGCCATTTTTCAAAAGAGTGGTGACCATATCCGTTATTTTGCTAACGAAAGCGTTGAAGAACGAACAAGTGTTCGCTAACCTCAAAGTTTCCGTATATATAACAGAGGATTTGTTGATAAGAGAGATATTTGTGTCCCTATACGGAAATCTGATAACACTGAAGGTAAAATCATCCGTTTTATTATACAGCTTGGTACTAATTTTACCGTTAATGAAACATTAATTGTTTAAATCTAAAGTAATTACTAAAGAAACCTCAAACTCCTATGTAGTTTTTTGTTCAGCTGAAGGTATTTTGATAACTTGAGTATAAGTAGTTCACTCCAACAATCAATCTATCAGTTTGTCGTTGTGAACGAACAAGCAAATCATCCATATGGGGTTGAAAGTGACATGCAACACCTCCTCCTCATAGGTGCGCTCTAACTTGTAACGTCAGAAAAGTGGGGCGGCGTGGTGAAACGGACCAAAGGCTTTCGGAATCTCTGTCCCATACCCGAGCTAAGGAACGCTTTGTTCGCACTGTGTTTAGAAACAGCGATTTAGACTTCACGGCCGGCCGCGGCGTTCGAAGCGAATCGACTCGGCCGCCGTGCGACGTGGATCGTATATAAATCAACTCCAACCAAGCAGTCTCAACCCCCCCCCCGCCCCCCCCCCCCCCCCCCACACCCTAACCGTGTGCCAGAACCCCCTCGAGAAGATCCCTCCACCCCCTCCAGGAAAAAACAGACTCCACCAATGGTTCCACCGTTTAAGCGGAAAGATCCGCTGCCCCTAAGAGCGCTAGTTAGTAAGAGTTAAACAGAATTAGTTAGTAAGAGTTAAACACTTACAAAACCATTTCTCAATCGAGATAACAATTAAGTCAATGAGATATCAGTTTTCTGAAGGCAATCGCTAAACAAAATTCTGGTGGTTGAAGGCGCGGATCAGGGAAAACCGCTCTAATTCGTCGTTTGAAGGACAATGTTTTTAGCGACGACGAGGTAGCGAACGGCTTGACGGATGTTACCGTACTAGTACGAGCTCTCCATGGAGTCATTGTTAAAGCAGATGTGGTCGAACTTGGTAGGTTAATGTATATTGTTTATGGTAAAAAATGAATTTTTTCTGAAAACTTTCAGATTTATCCGATTTTTCCTCGTGGACGACTCTTCCTTTCGATGCAAGAAGAAGTTGCAGCTTGTAAGATTTTAGGGATTCACACAAGACCTTAGCTACACGCATATTTCAGTAATTCCCTCGTTTACAGGTTAAGCAGTACTTCGATGTAAATGGACTAATACTGGTATATGATATCACTAGTACGGATACATTTGAAGAGCTTGACGACGTCCTGCGCGTCCTGCAAAAAATGGTGAATTGAATTGCACACAATTCAGCATAAAACTATGATACATAATATTTATTTCTTGCTATTGATAAATTACATTCTATTTCATTTAGTATCTCATTTGCTTCGTTTACTTGCTCTATTCAGTCAATGTGCTAAACAAATGCCAATACACATCAATTCAACGAAATGCTGACTGCCGGGGGCATTAGTATTCATCTGAAGCTTTGATTTGGATAAGCAAAAGGAAGGGCCAAATAAAGAGTGAAAGGGACGAAACTGCATCTACTACTAAAAGTGGGTCAGTGTAAGTCTGCGTTCATTAGTTTGCGGCATCGTCCCACCAGCGACAATAGTCGTCCACCAGCGTTCGCGATGTTTGCAAGCGTCAGCCACACAGGAAGCTATATCGGGGGAGGCAAAAAAAAGAACTTTTCTTCCCATTGACTATCGAGGCGCTCTAATTATACTTTATTGAATTCTTCGTCGACGTGTTCTAACGAGACATATTAAAAAGCAATAAATAAATACACTACGATACTACCCCACAGCCTTCTAAGCGGCCATCGCGAGAGATTTCTAGCTCACGCGACGTGAGTGATGCGGCCTGAGTTCAGCGAGATCGTGATTTCTCCGTCAAGGTATGTACCCACCTTCTATTGAACTCCGCCCGAAACCAGGTAATTGAGGGGGTTTAGGTCAGGTGACCTGCTTAGATATTCCACCTTCTTCAGGTACTCAACGCCCTTCCATTCCAAGTAGGCAAGAGTTTTCCCAACGCCCTTTGATTCCATGTGGTGTCACCAATCCTGTAGCAGTACAAAGTTCCCAAGGTACGTGGCGACGACATGTGGAGAGGATATTCTTCTCGAGTTGCTCGATGTAATCCCCACAACTTCAACACTTATACCGTGGCCCACGAGAAAAATCGGTCTCTCCATTCCAAGTACTGTCTGCCGATCCCTCACCATCAACTGGCGCCTGCGACTGAGGTGAAGATGATGTCCTAGACCGCAGCGACCTTGACGGAGCTGCTCGATGATGGAGGTCATCCAGATCGAGAGTACTGGTCTCCAGGTAGCTATCCATGGGTGACTCCACACTAGAAGTTTCGCAGCTGTTTGGAGGTGACATGAATTCCAAAGGTCTTCTCCAGTCAGGCTGCGACTGGAGATGACTTCATATTTTGGTGTACATGAAGGTGATGGGCGAGAGCCAGCTCCTGCTTATAGAGGAACATCTTGGGTATCTTCCGCCCTGGTACTCGTATCCACGTCCTCTGTCTGGGCTGCGAAAACTTTGCTGATATGTGACTCGGTCGAAATGTCTTTTTTTGCCCCCCCCCCCCTGTAGATATCGATCTAGCGTATACCAGCGTCTCAAAAAGTGGGGAAGTATAGATATCGCAATAGCGTCCTTACGTATGTCAAAGTCACTTATTTAGTAAAAATTTTGTAGGTGGCACCTGATGTCGATATCTGCTTAGTAGGGACCAAAGCTGATCTTGCAGTTTCTCGAATGATCTCATACGATGACGCCGAAAAGAAATCCCAAGAACACGGCTATTCCTTATTCGAGACCAGGTAGATACAAAAGTACTTTACTGGGTTCTCTTCGAGTAGGTGGTTCAGGAGGGTTTTTCTCTATATTCGTTTTTTGACAATTTGGGAACGTTTTGCAGTGCTGCGACAGGAATCAACTGTGAAGAAGCATTGATGGAAACACTGGACAAAATGGCTGAACGACGATCAGAGGTTCGGGAGTACTTGTCAGAAAACACACAGGTATGTGCTGTGCTTACCGTGCTATTTATAACTGTGAGATCCAGGACAAAGACGCACCTTATCTAGACGTTGACAAACTTCTGCCTATTGGGCGTTGATGGGTCAACCAGGATCCTTGAGGAGGATTTTTTGTAGTTCATTGAGCTATGGAGCTGGAGATCGCAAAGGTTCTGTCAAGCCACTAGGAACAGTTGGCGAGATCCCTCAGCACATGGAATTTGTGATTTTCGACCTCTTTGCCATAGCTAGCTGTCCGCCCTATGACGTTCTCCAGCACCCTCCCTGTGCAGCCCTGCCTGGAGTGAACACCAGCGAACCAGGGTGAATTATTTTCCCACGTGTTTTCCGAAAGAGCACACATATAAGGCAGCGTGCACGCGCAATCTTTGGTCATCTAACACTGATCAAGAACCTTGTTTCCCATTCAAGTGAATGGGGGAACTCCAGGTATTGTTCTCTCGATGGCGTGTTGGAAAAGTGACCGCACTTGATTTTGTCTTGCAAGCCCATGAAACTTATTCTGATTGTGAGTCCTTTTGTGAATAGCTGGGTGGGGCGCGTCAGGTGCATCGGTATATACAGTATATTGCCGACGTCTGCTGAGGAATCTAGTTGAACATCACAAGAGAATAACGCGGTCCTGGTATGTTTTGACGCAAAAGTTTCATGAGAGCTAAACGTATGCAGACAGCTTTGCGTAGTGGAGGTTTAAGGCAGTTGGCACGATGGTTTCCTAATCGGCTTAAAATGCTAGGGAGGGAGGCTAGTGGGAGAAATGTGAGAAAGACGGAGTGAAACGGTCAAAATCTGGCGAAGAAAAAGCCTCCGTTCTCAGTGAAAATCGATTTCGGACGAGTTTCCCGTAGGCATCTTGCCAATCACCGCTACCGAAGATACGGCTGCATATGTGTACCCATATATGCATGCAGCATCACGGCCGCTTCATACCAATCCCTTCGCTTCATAATTTGCTTAGCAAATGAATGAATACGAGCGTCAGGAACGGTCGTCCATTTGTGGGCGGGCGGGCGTGGCGGGCGTTTGGGACGTAAAGTTGTGGCTTGATAGGGCCCTTATAAGGGCACCTTCCTCGAGAAGCCGCTATGCAGCGCCTCAGGGTCGCGGAATTCCGTCCTGCCAGGCGTATTGATCCTAGTCGTCTTGGGGGATTTATCGTGCCAACTGCCTCTAAAGGAACGGTCCGCGGTGACTCATGACAGTGCAAAGGACTGTGTGGGAAGGGTAATGTGGCCGCATTGGAAATTTCTGTGCCAGTTTCGCGGCGAAAAGTTGTACAGTAAAGGAGTAAGGCGCAAAGTTGCTTCAGTGGTACATCCCTTTTTCCAGTGACTCCGCCTCCAGACTCCGCCTCCAAGTGCGCCTTCCAGTCAAAAACGGTTACTGGACAAGTAGCATGGAATGCATGCTCTGCTGCTCTCTAATGAAGTCACGGGGCTTATTACAAGGGATCAGCCGACTTTGATCGTCCCAACACGCGGTCTTGGCCTTTTATCCGTACAATTGCTTGGGACTTGAGGGGCCCTACTAAAGAGTAACCGACTTTTCCGTTAGCATTTTCTCACAGTCTTCATCATTTCAGAAATGCTACCTATGCTCCTTATCGCACCCCATGCCTTTAACGGGGGAACGGGTGAAGTGGAAAAGGTGTGAGCGCAGAACGTCATTCATGGTTTCGGTGGTACTTCATTGCCCCCTTATCGCAACCCAGGCTAATTTATCTTAAAACTTGTATTCGGTGGGGATTTGGCTGGGAAGTTGTCCCTATGGATAATGTCGCTCCCTGAACGCCAATATTACCACGAAAAAGTCTGGCGATCGAGCTGCAGGCGCCGAGATCAAAGCACATTGAATCATCGACGTCGCTCAAATAGTGTCCACGACTTTATTATTTATTTTCCAACCTTTATTATCCCAGAAGGAATATTGCATTGTATCCGTTAGGCACGTTTTCTTGCGAAATAGGATGTGATTTTTCACATGAAAGTATCGCGGGTAATCTGCTCCTAAAAATTCATGACTAAATGCAAACCTAGGTATGAACTTCCGGACAAGGCAGCTCGGATTTCTAGCGGAGGAGTGGACAGTGTCTGACTTTTTTTTCTGCTTCAAACAAGTATAACGGTGAATAAAGAACAGTTAAAGGCACATTTTGCTAACACTCACGGGAACCGAAATAATGTGTGGAAGAAAGGAATGTGGACCACAACGGACAAAATTCTAACATAACCGCTTGACCTGATAGCTACGTTGAGGCGCAGGTCCTCAAGGGCTCTGCCTGAGCCTAAGTAACTCCGCCTCGCTTTAGCTTCAGCATGTCCTGCTGACCGTTTGTGTGCCCTGCGTCTCTCTTTTCTTGTCGTCCAAACTATTTCCACCGTTTCCACACCTCTCGCTTAGAATGAATTACAGCGAGAAGCGATTTATTGGAAGCGTTTTCGATGCCTATCTTCGTTTTTTCCTTAATAACAAACCTCGCGATTACATATTGTGGGCAGTGGCGTTCAGTAACGAACCTGTAGTCGCTCTATGACTTTCCAGGGAAAAAAAAGCAAAAAAAGGAAACCAGAACTCTTCTTGCTTGTGATCTTGACCTTACCCTTTACCAGCGGTCAGCCTTAGCAGAGGAAGGGATCACTATCTCGGGGGAAGGGTGCAGGCGAGCAGAAGCAGGTTTGGCTATCACATGTACCTCCTTTACTTCAGCCTAAACATTATCAACGCCCTGCACAAATACGGACCCTTGTGATATTCGTGGTCGGGAGCCCAAGCTACCCACCCCTCCTGACATGTTTTTAGTGAATTTGGTTGTAGGTATTAGGCGCCTGTGGGAAAAACCCACGGGAAAAAAGTTGGTTAAAGAGTGGAAAAACTGGTCTGATTCTGAAGAATGGGGCAGAAAATGATAGTGTCCACGTTCGACTTTCAGGAATCCTAGCATTTTTCTATTGCTTACAGTATGTGAAGTTACCCAGCTGTTAGCCAAGCGTTAAACGCTTTTTAAATCAAAAAAATAGTTCGAAAAGAAATTATGAAGAACACTATAAGTGCCCGGCATCTTCAGTGTACGAGTTGAAACGGACCTTCTTGTTTAGAGCCAGCAAAGCGATATGCCTGCCATCTCTAGCTCACCAATCATTTCATCGCGTCATCCCGAGCTAATATCATCCAAGTTTTCTTTTCAGTGAAAAAAAAAACCAAAATTCGGCGTAAAACGGAACTCTCGACAGAAAACCGCCATTGAGGTCTGGTGGGGGCGCAACCACGGGAATCGCCAAAACTGCCATTTATTAGGGCTGCAGCCCCTTTGTTACTGGCGCTGAAATAGGGACAGTTCTAGAGACCATGCTCGCTGGCGGGGGGGGGGGGGGGGTTCGCGTTAACATTCTGAGAGAACTGTGTGGCATGGGAAAAATGTCCCCAGTTGTTGACCTTTCACGGTTTTTTTCGTCTAGCTGCTGCTACATACCCCCATCCCCCTTCCCTGTCCTCCTTGCTAGACAGCGAAAAATTTTTCGGGAAATTCCGGAGAAACTGGAAAAGTGATGGGAAATTGGGGAAATCTAAGAAAGTGGCAGGTGAGATGGGGGAGGGGAGGGGACGCATACTTTCTCTCGCATTTTCCCGTTTCACATACGCTATACATACATCTCATTTCCGCTAAACCAGGGCACGTCGTTGTTGGGGAATCCCTAGAGGGGTCGTATTTGGCCGCTGGGAGAGGGAGGGAGTCGCATTTTGGGCCTGGAAAAATTTATTTTGATAGTTGATTTTTCTCGCTTCGCGGACGTTGTAAAGAGGGGTTCGTACGGACTCGATTAAAATCCCCAACCAGTGATGTGCCCTGTCTCCCCCTCGACCAAAATCCTCAACTAATGATGTGCCAGGGCACATCGTTGTTGGGAAATCCCCAGTAGAGGGGGGGGGTCGTATTTGGGCTGAGAAAAATTTATTTGATAGTTGATTTTTCTCGCTTCACGGACGTTGTAAGGAGGGTTGTAAGGAGGGGGGTCGTAGGACTCGACCAATATCCTCAACCAATGATGTGCCCTGCGCTAAACCGCTATATCAGAGGAGGGATGTAGTGGGGGGGGTCTTATCAAGCTACCTTTCGAGGGAGGGTCGTACGACCCAACCAAAATCCTCAACTGTCTTTAAGAAACAGACCGGCTAGTACATACACTTCCCGACTAAGCACGTTCTGTTGTGCTTGTTGTCCCCTTTACTTACGATGCACAACGAAGTTTACTTTGAACTATCGAATTGTTTAGCCCCTCGCTTACCACACTTTCTACCCACTACACTTTCAAGTAAACATGTAATGTTTTGTACCAAGAATGATTGAGTGCTCTAAACTAGTCCGGTACTTTCCAGTGAGTCCTATGATACATATCTCATATTTTGCATGTGAGCACTATAAGAAGCGCATAGACGAAAACTATCTCAGACAAGTGTCTGTTTTATGGCATTTGTTGCGACAAGTGCAACACGAGCAGTCATGGCCAGCAGCAGCCCATCGCTGAGGTTTTTTTCCGGCGTGAGAAAAATGCTTCCGTTTGTGATCGAAATCTTCAAATGTCTCCTGGGAACCGTGCAATGCACGAATCGTAAAAAAACATCACTGAAAAAGAGGCGAACATGAGATGCTCTAGAGATGTGATGATAAACGATCAGTGCCTTTGCGGCATGTTCTGTGTATGTCGGCATCATAGCACTCAAAAATAGACGAATCTTGCTGTTTTCAACGTCGTAAATCATATTTCGGAATTCGCCGACTTTACGTCGACTACATTTTGGAACATCCAAAAAAGGGCATTTCAATAGAACGAGCCAAAAATTGAGTATCTCAGCGCCATGTTTTGCCTTCTAGTAACAGCGCTCTCAAGGCTTTATATGATTGTAGAGCTTTTCTTGAGCTTTCGCTTTGAAATCTTCAAAATTAGCAAAGATCAGACGGGACTTGCCCACCAAACACTGCAATAATTCTTCTTATTAAATTTAACTGTCAAATGACTCAAACGCATTGACCGGTAAGAGCAGGACGCTGGTTCACATGGATCTCAGCCGCCGCGACGCGACG